AGACAAGTGTAAGATAATTGAGGTATAAGCAAGCTCATCGGCTTCTTCTCTTTGTTCTTGTGAAAAATCAGTTGAAAAATTGCCTTCAATGGCTTTTGAAACCTTTTGTTGGACTAAAATACCCTTCATTTTTTGTTGCCAAATAGCAAAGTCACCCTTTCCATTAAAAATTCCCAAATCAAAACTGTGAGTTGTCATCTTCGCGCAATAGTCAAAAAATGCACAAACCACACAAAGTAGTCCTAGGGGTCACAGACAATATACACCGTTCTAGATTCCCAAGGTTTCGTAAGACTCGCGGTCTTAGATCAAGGGAATGTTCGAAAGGGTAAAGTCACAGTATTTCTAACGGAATAAGTAAGCAGCGGAAATAACAGTGCAGCAAAAAATACGTCTAGTAGATAACTAGTCCCACAGTAATTTGATCACTAAGAATTACAAGACTGATGAAATCCAAAAACAAATATTCAATCAAAATGATCAATAAAGAGCACATAACCCTAATTCTAGCACAAGCAATGGTTGCCAAGCAATGACAACCCCCAACCTATTGTCACCCCACACGGTGATGCGCTAATGCTGAAAAATTAACGGGTTAAGCCAATTTATCAGAGCGGACGTGTCTAAGTCCGTATAATCGAGAGAGATGCGAATCTACTACTTTAGGGCCGCAATCTTGGCCTAAAGTAATCCAGTAGATATATGCAGATTCAACTAACGATCCACCGGGGGCAAAATTGTCCAACTTTTTTTGTATAACCTGAAACAGAAAATAAACAGTGTCAGTGCATTCAGGGGATGAAAATAAGCAAACTGCCCAGAGGAAGTTCCCCCGAAATTGCCGCCATGCGCCGCCGTCGAAGCCCCACGCGCCGTCAGTCGCTGCCGCCGCCGCCGTCGCCACTCGCCACCTACGAGGGAGCGCCTCAGCCTGCTGATCCCGAATATGGGATCGGTTTCATCGGAAAGTGGCCGGATTGGCTGGAAATAAGGGTTGCAGCCACGGTTTTTCCACCCAAAATCGAGACTGCCGCCGGTTTTTTTGCTGATTTTCAAGCCGGGAAAGCTGCTACAGCTCTGATACCAGATGTAGGGATGAATTCCACCACCACCACATGCAAAACCGGGCTCAATTTACCACAACATCGACACCAATTTCGTTGAGACATCTCCAACACCACCCTTGCTGCCCCCACTCCGATTGCTATCAATTGAAGAAGGAGAAACACATTAATGTACCCACAATAGGTTAACCACTAAGGTCACAGTGAGGGAGAAGGGAGAGACTGAGAGGGAGACTCACAAAGAGAAGAGAAAATTTCACTCTATGGAGGCCGAGACAAGAGAGGGATTATATGCCAAGTAAAGTGTCCAAATAGGTAAGTTACAATTAGGGTTAAGTGGTGGACCAACAAACGAGGCTCGACTCAATTAAGTGGGCTTCAACAATAATAATATAGCCTTCCAAGGAATGGTGCGAGAACCGTGAGCAACACTATAAAAATAGGTTGCTTCGAACGGTCCAAAACTAAAGTGGATTGTGTTGTCTCAATAATTGTGTCGATGTATTGATCAATCATTTGGCCGAGGCCGATTGATAATAAACAACCGAGGTTACATCATCGCTCGGGGAGGTCGTTTGACAACAAAATTGCCTAACAACTATGATTAAAAAAATTGTCCAGACTCATTCTAGGGATTGAACTGAAAAAATGCCCATTCCAAGCTCCACTAGTCCAGAACCATTTAGTCCTATTCCATCTTATAATACATTGTCTCCCATTTGGATCTAATTCATTGGAGAAAAGCCCAGTCGTAGGATCCTCGGAATTTTTCCACGAAGTGAGGATTTTCTCTTTTTTTGTACGTTTGTCGTAGGTAATCTCGCTACTGGGCAACAACATATCTGTTGGATTATCAAAACTTTGCCAAAGTGCTTCACTTGTCCTAGGTTCTGACTCATCTCACAAAACTAAATTTCCATTATCACCTAGAGTTGCCACTACAGAATTTGAGGTTGTCAAATTTACATTTGTGGACCAAATTGAAACCTGGGACTCATCCATAAGCACCAAATTCTCATCTAAAATCTTTAGTTCTGTAGAGTTCATGTCTGAAATGGGTGTCTCCCTATTTGCTACCCAAACTATGGTCATTGGACTAATATTTTTGTACCAAATTCCAATATAATAACTGGAAGAAGTACATGGTTTGAAAAATCCCAGTTCAAAAGTCCCACCAGAAGACACGATTGTCTGTTTTCCAGAGAGAGATTGGTTTGCTCTGATGCTGTCTCCTCCTAGTGAAAGATTGATGTTAATATAGAAACATAGGAAAAACAACACAGAGAGAATGAAATAACAAGTGTTCTTTGGGATCATAGCTGCAAATGATGTGTGTACAGGCAAGGAGAGAAAGAGAGTATGAAACAAAAAGTGTTTTTTTCAAGCACATGCTATTTACGAGAAGGAAAGTCATACT